ATGATCTTTATATGAGGGATTTTGTTTTAATAAAAGTAAATTGTAGGGTGTTTTAACAGCATAATATTGTTGTCTTCTGGTAGAGTTCAATAAGAGCAGTTCAAGAAGCAATGTTGATGTGCAAATCTGGTGCAGTAACACATAACAGCCAATTGGATTTTACTGTGAATCAGTTTAGAGTAGTCTGAACAGTGAATTATGGGCTATAGTAAAAATGTACAAAAAACTGAACTGCAAGTTGCCTAAAAGAAATGTAAAATATGCATTTAATATTTTATTGAACTTTCTAGGAAACACTGCAGTGTTCCAGAACGGATAATGGATCTGCATTGTTTCAGTTCCCAAAGCCGGTCAAGTTTACAGATTATAATTTCAGAAGACAAAGATCGGGAACATGAGGATGCTGCAAAACTCATGCTGCGTGTTTAATTAGTACAGTCCCTGCTGAAAGGAAGCGAGAAGAGAAATCTCAAGCATCCGCTAGTTTTTTATGCATGCAAAATGTGACAGCTACATCTACTCGAGTTCCCTAATAACTTGAGCCTCGTATCCTGGGAAAAAAAACAATTTCTGGATGGGTGCAGATAAGCACTACTGGCTGCAAATGTGATTTATTTCACTTATCTAACAGGCTCTTAACACTGACCTGAAAGGCTGGAACAAGGTTACAGGAAAGATTTCACAGCAGTGTTATTATTTGTATGCATTATTACCATATCTCATAAAATTGCTGCACACTGCTATAAGGTGGGTCAAATACCATGTTTCGTGAAGCAACATGAAAACATCCAAAGAAACATAAGGTTCTGCCCATCAACATGTAATTTGGATTTAGAAACTGCTACAATTTATGTAAATTGGCATTACTATTATTGGGAAGTGTCCCTTATTTTGCTATTATAGATATGTGAAATCTGTCTTCTCAAAATTATAGATTTTGTTCATTCATACCATTTGTGTTGCAGTAACATGCACAATACTGCAATGCATTGTAATGCATGCTACATGCATTGGTGCACTGTGCTCCAAAGCAACCCAACACATCACACCTGGGTTGCAGGGCACTGCAACAGATGGCAATGCACTACCATGTGTTTATTGCACTACATCTGAATAAATACTGCAGATAGGTCTTCCTGCCTGGATTTTAGTCGTCAATGATGTTGTGTTACTTATATTAAGAGCTAGTTGTATGGTTTTTCCCAGTGGCCACTACTTTTACCTGCAACATTTGCTTGTTTTACTTGTCCTAACCTGGCTTAAAGTACTGTAACAATGTGTAAATAAGATTTTCTGCCATACCTGCTATGCCTAATAATAAATTGGCTCTGTGTTTGTGTATATATATATATATATATATACACATACATACACACACACAGTGTATGTATATATATATATATATATATATGTATATA